TTTTTTTTTTTTTTTGGGTGCAACTTTTGAATTACAATTTGTTAAAGTAACTTTACCTCAAAATCTATAATATATTCTTTTAGGAACAATAGAGATATTATAGAAAAAGAAAATACATACATCTAGAAAACAACAAAACAAAAGCCGAATAAGGATCCAGAGGATCGCATACCACCTACATTAGAAACAACGCACCCACTAACATCACAAAAAAGAACAAACTCCACAACTAGAGAAAGAAATTCTTTCCTCTACAGTTGGCCTAGCACGCAGAAGACGCTTCTTGTGATTTTTCTATCTAAGGTTCTTCGTCTTTATTTTGGGAGTTCCCGCCGCAACGGGAGAATAATACGCTCCACTACGGGATAAAAACACAACACAAGAACCAAAACTACAAGAAAACACACAATACCAAACAACCTAAGCAGACCAACAAGAGCACACAAACACAAAAATGAGAAAAGAAACTAAAATATACTAAGCCCTCCCCATCTGCCAACATAACTCCAAGAACCACCAAGTGAGACGACACCCGCATAACAGAGAGATTCACAACTGCGGCCAAGAACTTGAAATTTCATAAGGCCTAACTAAAACCTGTCTAGACGAGTCGGAACCCCTCACAAAGGAGCCTCCCCGAGACCTCATCGCGAGACCGACACCTTGGACCCCTACCGCCAAACCGGCGACCGTGGCCACCACACTGGCTGCAGCACCATCGAGACACCGTCAGACCTTCACCACAAAACCAGGGGCATAAAGGTACCAAGGAAGGCCCAAAATGGCACAGACAAGCTCAACCACCACCAAGGCAGCATACATGCCGACGACGACGAGCACCCTCCCAATCTATCGAAATCCTCGACTAAACCCACCATGGCCACCAGAAGAAGACGGTGAAACGCCATGCCGAACAGGGAAGCCAAAATGGATTTACAAACGACTCATTACCGCCCCGATGAAGGTCTCCCCATGGTGGGGAAGAGAAATCAGCAGAGGGGAGGCATCAATTTTACTCAAATCGAGCATGGTGTACAATAATTGTGAAAAAAATGCATGTTGTTATCTGAATATTCATATTCCAATGCATTAATGTGCATTTAATATAGTACTAATGTGTAGTACGACATCCATTAATGTGCATCATTATTTATTCTATGGTGCATTCTTCAATGCCAATTTTTGTTTTATTTGTGAATTTAAACTAACACTGAACTGAAAATTTGAATAATTAAAATTTTTGGTTAATTACTTAAATTAATCAAGATATATATTTAATATTTAAAATTTTATATTTTATATTACTTTATGAAATATTAAGTATTTAATAAAAACATTTTATATACAAATACATAATATATACTTAATATTTAATATTTAATAATAATATATATTTAATATTTTATATTATTTTTGTTGACAATAAATATAATATATATTTATAAAATATATAATACAAAAATGTTTTTTATTTATTTTCTATAAATTAAAGATTGACCCTTGGGTTAAATTGTAATAATCAAGACATTTGAAATTTAATTAATTATAATTTTGACAGATGAACTAAATTGTAATTTGGTAAATATTATTGATATTGCAAATAAGTCCTTCCTACTTATCTATTCTTTTTTTTTTTTAAAAAAAAGGTTCTCATCCGAAAATACACATCCCCCTCCTTGGTGTATGTAATGATGTAAACTAAGTAGATGCCGCCGCCGACGTGGATATCCAAATGATGTAGATTCCGCCACTGCTACCTCCGATGACGCCGCCGCTGCCGCCGCTTTTGCCGCTGTTGTGGTACTTCTGACATATGTCAACGTATAGCCGCAACCGCGCTAAAGAGACTGACAAGCATCTGCAAGATCACGGCGACGGCGTGGCAACGATAGGCCGCTGAAACGACTAACCGATCTTTTTAGCCATTTTCCAATGTCAGAAATACATCACAAATTAGCCAGCGGTTTCTGGTTTCCAGTGGAGGATCGTAAGTGGCGATGACTTGCCGGAGTGCCAGCAGCTTGCGAAAGTTGCCTCTAAAATTGATTGACGACCGGTGGGAGGTTGGCGGAAGTCGAGATTATATGTATGTGTGTCTGCGTGTGCATATTCACCGGCTGGCGGCAGCAGCGGAGGCCGGCCTTTGACGGAGGAAATCTTATGATGGTGGCGGACGCCAGCCGGTGGAGTCGGAGCCTCAGGTGGTGCGTCTGAATATGTGTGTGTGCGTCTGAATATGTGTGTGTTTTATGTATATGTGTGTGCGAGAGAGAAAAAGCATGGGTGGTGTGCGTGGGGTAGCTGGGGTTTATTTGGCAGTTCGCTACTACAATCACTCCTGCCGTCGGTGAAACCCCAAACGAAATTAGATATTAGATATTGTGGAAGACCCTACCTAATACTACTAGGATTAGGGAGACTGTTAAGGCAAGGAGAGAAAAAAAAGTGAGTCGAGTGATCGACTGCTAAGGGACGAAGTGACTCGAGCGAAGCGAAAGGTAGTTAGGGAAGTAGATCTTCTACTAAGGTAGACGGAACACCAAGGCAATCTCAACCTCAACAGCATCTATTAGTATTAGGCGGGTACAAGATTCGAACTTGCAATCTCCAGGTCATGAGCCTGGTGAGATAACCATTCCTCTACCCTTTTCAAACTCCAAAAACATCGTTCAACTTACATGTGTAAAGCATAAGACCTAAGTAGCATGATTAGACCTGCAGTGGTGAACCGGGCGTACTACTTCCCATCCCGTTCGAGCACTACGTTCCTTCTGTGGACCTTTCTTCTCTTATGATTTTTTCTGCTTTCTTTAATTCCCCTTCTTACCGCTTCTGCTTTCGGGGATCAGTCCTCCTTTCTTGCTTTCCTTTACCGGATTGCACTGATTAGGCAGAAGAAGCCATATTAGTCCTGATGAAGCTTCCCGGGGGGAAGACTTCCCATGATGTGGTGATGTTTTCGTTCAGCACGCCCATTCAAATGGCAATTAGGCCAATTAGACTATTCTGGCGGATTGGTCGGTCAAGATCTTTGGTCTCATTGCGTGGAAGAATTTGGTGCACTTGTCACTTTGAATCTGGAATTGGCACTTTGCTTTTTATTTAATGTGGAATGGGGTCCACCTCTATGTGTGTGATGTAGAAAATACCACATCACTCTTAATGAAGATATAATTTTGGTTTTTTTAGCCATTAGGCTATCCGATCTAATGGCTACGATTTATTCTTATTTCTTTCACTAAGCATCATTCTCGCTGGATATATATATATAGGGGGCGGATCAAATGCGGCCCATTCATAAAATGCAGACGTGAGACCCAATTTGGGCCGTCCATTAAACACGCGCAAAACCAATTCACCTACGCGCAATTAGATACATTATATATATATATATATATATA